TACCAAGTTGATATTTCTAGTTTCTGCCCTTCAACCAAATTCCATCTGGATAGTTTATTTTCTTATAGTAATCATGACTTATTTAATATCTACTATATACATGGTATTGATTGTAACACAGGGATTACAAAGATTAAATATGGTTGTGACTCTGAAAAGCTTTAATAGGTAGCATGATGACTCTGGAAAAACTTTAATAGGTAGCATGATAGGCCCATCAAATTGAAAGTACATAAAAACCAAGATGCATAAACTTAGATTTCTGTAGAGAATAYAGGCAATAGATATGGAGTACATTAATTATTTATAACAATAGGGAGAAGATAGGAATCAATGAGRTCTTGGAGCAAATTACTGTAATATTCATGGTGAAATTTATGATTTAAAAAATACTGGTAACTAGGGACTGGGKTATAGTTCAGTGATAGACTACTTCATAGTATGCAAGAGACCCTGGGTTCTTGCCCAGGGTCTAGCTGTGCAGGCATATACTCTAGATGGACATGACCAAATTTTGGAAGCAGCTTTTAGGAGTCATCAGTTTGTAACTCTTTTTTTAAAAAAAAATTTGTTTTAGTACTGGGGATTGAACCCAGGGCTTTGCACATGTTAGGCAAATACAAAGCTACACCCCCAGCCCAGATTTTAACTTTTGATTAAAAAATGAACWCCTGATCTCTTTGCCAAACTGCTCTTTCTTCTCAATTTTGATTTTTTCTTTCCATCTGTTTGATTTCTTTTACTCTGGTTTTCAATCTTTGCAACATATAAAAATGTAGCATGATAGTATATTAGTTAGTTTGAAATTTTTTATATAGTTTTGTGTTTGGATGGTGTTTAATCTTTTTCGCTCATTTAGGGTGAGCTTTTTATGTAACAGTAAATAGATAGATATATTTATGTAACAATTTATTATCTGAGGAACCTATAGATTTTTACTTTTTTCCCCCCTTTCATTCTTTAGATGCATATGGGAAGTGTTTATGAGGCTGGAAAATTGAATCTCTTAACAGTAATTCAGTTGTTAAATGAAGTCCTGAAAATAATGAAATATGAACGTTGTCAGACWGACCAAGCAAGATTGACAATAGACCTTCACTACCTTGAAAAAGAGACCAAATTGCAGAGGGAAAGATTATCAGATCTGAAGCATATGAGGTACACTAGAAAGATCTTTTTTTAAATTTTAGTACGAGAGGAATAGACTGGCTTTCTCAGCAAAATTCTTGTATAGATAATACCTGTTCAGCTTTGTCAAACAAGTGTGAAATTTTTAATGTAACTTTGTAATCAACTCAGACACATGAAGTAGAAAGTTAATGTAGTTTTTTCTTCTTTATATGGAATACATTATTTTTTCACTGAGTGATAATTTATGAAATAATTTAACTTTTCTCCTTTTTTTTGTGTGTGCGTATGTATATGTCATATAATAGTAAAACTGAACTTCAGAAAAGGTTTTTTTTTTTTTTTTGATACTGGAGATTTAACCCCAAGGCGCTTTACCACTGAGTTATATCCCCAGCCCTTTTTATTTTTTGTTTTGAGATAGTGAGACCTTATTCTCACTAAGTTGCTTAAGGCCTCACTAAATTGTTAAGGATGGCCTCTAACTTGCCATCCTCTTGCCTAAGCCTTTGAAGCTGCTGGGATTATAGGCATGTACCACTGCGCCTGGCCAGAAAAAAAATTTTTTTTTTAGTTGTAAATGGACACAATACCTAAATAATTTTTATGTGGTACTGAGGATCAAACCCAGTGCCTCAGTGTGCTAGGCAAGCTCTCTACCACTAAGCTACAACCACAGCCTGAAAAATTTTTATATTTTACAAGAAAGACTGGTAGTTATAGACTRCATTTAGGAACAGAGTGTGGGTGTAGAATTCCCCCTGAAGTTTTGAGCTAAGAAGAAAAATTGTATTTTTAAGGTAAATGGAGTAGATGTTTGATTGCTGTCTGGTTTTAAAAGGAGAAAGGGTATTTTAAATTCTGAATATTTACTTGAGAGCTTATTTGATTGATTATGTGTTATATTGGTTAAACTTTCTCCTTACCTACTACTGTTGCTATTTTCTTAAATTTCACTCCATATTTTTTTGTATATTCATGTTTGAATAGTTTTTTTTATGCTATCATAGGTCTAAARTAAAAGAAGATCTCACAACTATAAGACATTCTATTATTAGAAAGCAAGGAGAGTGGTGTAAAAAATGGGAAGAGTTTCTTGGTTTGTCTCCTTTCAATCTAATTAAAGATTGGACTCCAGTAAGTTACATTGATTTGCCCTTTGGAGAGTATTTTAGTTTTGGTAACTTTTTGATTTACCATGTTACAAATGTCCTTGAAACACTAAGTGTGTTATCATCTCTGAGTCTAAAGTTCAAGTTTTGATTTTTGTAATTTTTTAAATATGTGATAGACTTTTCATTAARCTAATGTTGTCGTTTATAGTTAATTTTAAATTCAGAGGGTTGTATTAAAAAGAAAATGAGGGTGGGTGGGGTGGTATATGCCTGTAATCCCAGATACTTGGGAGGCTGAGGCAAGAGGATTGCAAGTTCAAGGMCAGCCTCCATTACCCTGTCTCAGAAAACTAACACCAAAACAACCCCAGAAAAACTGCATGTGAGATACTATGATATCTGAGACATAGTTGGAGGACAAAGTGATCCCCTTGCTTGTAATATTGTACCCTTTGGTTTAAAAACAGTATGGGATATATACTTTGTAATTCTATTTTTGCTTGGAAAAGAATCATTTGTATATTATTGTTATTGTAGTAATTAGCATGTTTACTTCAAAATTGTGAATTCTGTATTTAAAGGCTGTGGATCTTTTACCACCTATGTCTCCGCTTTCRTTTGATCCTGTGTCAGAGGAAGTATATGCAAGGAGTATTCTTTTTCAGTATCCTGCTTCACTACCAGGTTGTTTATTTATCTTTTTCTCTTTTAATCCTCATTTCTGTCATTATTCTCATTATTATAATGTTTCTTTATATTTATTGCTTTTGTCCTCCAATTGTTTTTTATTGTGGTGAAATGAACATAAAATAAAATTTACCATTTCATTCATTGSAAAGTGTACAACATGGTGACATTTAGTTAATTTATAATTGCGCAATCATCATCACTCTCTAGTTCCAGAACATTTTCATTGTCTTAAAARGAAATCTCTTACCCATTAAGAAGTCGCTCCCCATTTTCTCCTCTTCCACTCTATGGCAATAATATATATGGCAATAATTACTGTACTTCCAGTTGCTATAGATTTTCCTATTTTGAATATTTCATACAAATAAAAATCATACAATATGAGGTTTTTTTTTTTTTTTTTTTTTTAAGTTGTAGATGGGCACAATACCTTTATTTTTTGCTCAGGTAGCTTATTTATTTATTTTTCCTTTTTTGTGGTGCTGGGGATTGAACCCAGGGCCTTATGCATGTGAGGCTTGTTCATGTAGTTTTTAATTTATTTTATTTTATTTTTTTATTTTTTTATTGTTGGTTGTTCAAAACATTACATAGTTCTTGACATATCATATTTCACACTTTGATTCAAGTGGGTTATGAACTCCCATTTTTACCCCGTATACAGATTGCAGAATCACATCAGTTACACTTCCA